ATCAAGTTAGAATGTTCTCATTTACTGTAGTATTGCTTAGGAGTAGCTGCTGTTCTCCCAGTTCCCAGATATTAATTTGCTTTGTTGAAGAAACTTCCTGATTGAGGACCACAATAGGAGTACAGAGTAATATTGCCTTGGAGGACTTGAAACAGCAACTCAGTGTGAGTTTGACTGCACAGAACCTCAAGTGGAGATTCAGTCACTTGCACAGATAAGGAGGCCAAATGGGTTAATTAACCTGTGTTTGCAAAATACAGTGCATTCCTTTTTAATGTTTAAAATTGTGGCAAAGAATGCACCACTGATCAAGATGCAATTTCATAAGTTGTTGAAGCTGATCTGTCCCAGTCTGTCCTTGTCCTTTATTCGTCACCCTTGGGTACATGTTCTTACTCTATCCTTTAAGCCAGTTCTTAGAGTAATACAGTTGGCCTGATGAGCAAGCGGCTCTGAGAAAACAGTGTTGTGTAGGTGTGGGTTTGTCTTTTTGGACACATGGTGTGAAAACTAATGCCAAGGCAAGAAAGGGGTAGTGGGAGATGGCCAGAGGTGGGAGAAGGACAGGACAGTCTAGGTTGTCTTGGGTTGTTCTTGAAGGCTGAGCCAAATTTTGTGAGCGCTGCTTCTAGCCGAGAGCTAGGTAGTACAGTATTGCTGAAGTGGTTCAAACTTTAAGAATTTATTTCCTTTCAGACATAAAACAATAATATTCTTTGCTGAGCTTAAATATTTATGGCAGCTGTTGTAAAATACACTAATTGGGCTCTAAATGCTGTTCTCCTGTTTAAGAAAAACATTTAAGAAAATGTCCAAAGTTATATGGACACCTGGAAGTTTTCAGAATCTGACTTCAAGCTTAAGCACCCAACTCTAAAATTACCAGTGTGATAAATGCCACAGATCAGAACAGTAGTGCAGTGTTACACACATTGTAAAAAGATGATGGATTGGTACTAATCACTTTCATTTGTAAGATAAACATGAAATTTAATTTATTTTTGTTTAGTCTTTAAAAAAATTCACTAAAAACATAGCAAATCAACATTTTTTGATTAAGCAGTTTTCCTTTGGAAAAAAAAATTCACCTTCTCCCCTTGGGTACTGGTATTTTATTTGTAACATTTTCTTTCTGTGGGCGGAGGACCATTCTCACTTGGACTTCCTCCCTATTCTCCTACCCTGGACCTCCCTTCCTTCCCTTCTTACAGGCATTTGTCATGCTATGTCATCCAGTCAGATGTAATCAAATAGTTCCTGGAGGCTATGTGTATTACTGTGAATTTTTGTAGGTTGTCAGTGGAAACTACACTGCAACTGGCTTGAACCTACAAATTAGAGTTGGAAACTCCTTGTGAACTCAGAATACCTCATGTAACTGTACAAATGTGTTGTCCTGTTCTTGCCATTCTAGCCCAAAACTTAGAGGCTGTTCCCATCCCTGCAATCCCTGCTGAGTAATTCAAGTGTTGTTCTCTGTTTTGTCTCCCTCTTTACTGTGGGTTTTTTTTTCTTATTCATATGTATGAAACTTGTTTACCTTTCTTTTATAGGCAAAGGCTTCAAATCTTTGGAGTCTCTTTCCTGTTCAACTTTGTTACTACATCTGTAGCTTTCAGGGTTATAAAATCATAGAATATTTTGGGTGGAGGCAATCTTAAAGCTTATCTCCTTCTAATATGCCTGCCATGGGCAGGAACACCTTCCACTTGACTAGGTAGCTCCAAGCCCCATCCAGCCTGGTCTGTGGGTTAGCTAGAGTCTATTTGTGTGAGCACTGCAGAAGTCTGTCCTTTCTTTAAGTCACACAACACTGGAGTGACCAGGTTGTTTTTTCTTTATAATTAGAGGGGAGAGAAAGGTCAGAGGACTGCTGTCTGCTACTGCCTAGCAAAACAGCCCAGAATCTGTTGGTCACTAGTTCTTGACAAGATAAACTGCATAATTTTTACCAGAGAGTAGATGAAATCCAATTCTAATATGTTCCAATCTGAATTATGTTGACTTCAAGTAATAGTCTTTTTACAGCTGAAGGTCATGCTTTATAGGGTATGAATAACAACTAAGCCATTATGAGCCCTTAAGGTATAAAGCTCCCTGGTTCAGAAGAGCGCTTTGAGATTACTGCTGGTACTGGCTAAGTATAAAGGAAAAGAAAGTATAGTGAGCAGAGGATAAGGCATGAGAACTGCTCTACAGTCTACAGGATTGCCTTTTATCCTGGTGGTCTTGCATGACATCTTGGTCACTCTTTGCTCCAGTTTGTAGAAACTGATATAACTGAACGTAATTGCATTCCTCAGAATTTCAGCTTAAAAAGCTCATGGAGGTGCTTCACACCTCTGATGGCAGTACTGGCCTGGTTTGTACATTAGTGGTGGGGTTTTTTTCTGCTTACAATGAAAAGTTCAGGACTGTTTGCTTACATGTACTACATCTCATATTCTCTCCCTGTAAAATCAGCTGCAGTAAAAACGATGCCACTGTTTGGGATAGGTTAATGATTAATGAATACCACTTCACAAAATCTTCTAGTTGTAGTCCACTGTTGGAAAGCAGTGCATCATTTAGATTGCAGTAAGAATTTTAACAGTGATGAAAAAAAAATGGCAATAGTGTAAGATGTGTAACCAACTTTGGGGGTTTTTTTGTGTTCTTTTAATGTAGGTGATACAGATGAGTTTTGCAGTCACTTTGAAACTGTTCTCATCTGCCTCCTTTATTTGCTGCTTTTCATTTTTCCCCCTTCCCAGGTCAAAAGTTCTTTATGTATTAGTCCTTGATATTAGACTGTAGCAGCTTTTTGTGGGAGATAGGTATTTATGTCTGTGAAGTATCCACCTATGCAAAACACAAGCTGCTGCTGAAGTTAATCATGAGCTTGTCATGTTTCCGTATGTAAAAATCTGGTGACCTGTTTGAGAAGATATGATCGTATCAAATAGTTAATGGGATTATCACTCTGTCATCCTGCTCGGTATGCAACAGCCAAGGTAAAGACAGGAAGCATGGAATCTACATTATGTTAGTGGAATCTTGCCATGGCCTTGAGAAGAGCTGAAACTTGGCTCCAGGCATGCAGACATACAGCAATCCCTGTGGTCAGTGTGAACTTTCTGAGTTCTTCAGTGTAGCTCCCTTCATGTTTGAAGGGCTGCAATTCTTTCATCTGCTTCTGTCTGCCACTTGGAATAGTCAAGCTTCAGCCCTTTTCTCATCATTAAAGCAGAGGGAAGAAGAGAGACTGTTGCGATGTGGTGGATTCAATAGTAATACCATGCTACATAATGAAAAACTTTGTGCTTGAAGTTGAATAAGCTTAATGCCATTTGTATTTTGGTTCACTTTTTCTATATGGTATGGTAAGCATCAGTAATGTGGACAGTTTTCGTGTTTCAGATGATTTGTGAAAAAAAATTCCCTCTGCTCCATAAGAGGATTTAAAATACCCCCCATCTGCTTCCTTGTGAGGAAGAGGAGTTGAAAGCTGGGGTGCTACCAACCATGTACAGTTTCATTATGCACTTCACAAGCCTTTGCACTGCAACTCAGCAGCCCAAAGAAGGGGCCCAGATTTATCACTCTATTCCTACTGTTTCACTCTTGATGTCTTTTCTTCTAACAAAGTACGTAGCAATAAGTATACTTTAATCACCTTTAAGCTACTTACCTGGTAGTCAACAGGTGTCAATAGAAATCAGAATCACTGATCATGTTAACTTTTTTGAGATGTTTTTTTTTTCAGTACAGTAAGCCATTTATATACGGAGTAGTTTTTTCTGCTTCAGTAATGGCACTCACCCTCTAATTTACATAAAGAATGTCTATTTGCAGAATTGTGTATTTCATGGATTTTTGGGAAAATGCAGTTATTTGCCCATTTTTACCATGTTTTAAAACAAAATTTACTTTTTGTTTTGTTTGGGGATTTAGCATTATGTAATTTACCCACTTTAATCTATTGGTTACTCAGCTGATCAAAACAAAGTGAGAAAGTGAGCATGGTGTTATTTGGCTAAAAGCTGGACTTGATGATCTGGGAGGTCCTTTCCAACCTTAGATTTTATGAGAAAGTAAAATAAAAATAAAAAGTTAGATTTCCTGATGTTATTGCTCCTGCAAATGTATATTACATGGCACATGGTTCTTATCAGAAATAAGTTAGACGTGAATATAATTATCAGAAGTTTGGATGGCTTCTCTTGAATGACTATCAGTGTAATGCAAATTATCTTGTAAGAGAGGGAACTGGTAATATATCACAGTGTGTAAATTCAGAGAGCTATAATTTGTACCCAGGTCTTAGCTGCAATATTAATAACTTGTATATTTTAATGCAGAAATCTTCCAAAGTGTACAAAAGCTACGTAAATGCAATCTCAAAGTATAATCTCATTACCTGGAGATGCAATCCATTCAAAGTGTCCATTAGTGTCCCTGCAGTTTTTTGTTCCCATTACCTGCATGAAAACTACTTGCATGAAATTTTTAACTCCCTAAGCATGACAAAACCTGTGTCTATTCTTTGTCTTATCTGTAAACACTGACCACATTATAGCATATATAACAAGGCTGGAAAATCAGATACAAGCTGTGGTTGTGGGGTAGTGGAAGAGGGAGGAGGAGCCTTTATTTTCTAAAAGGCTGCCTGTCCTTAATAACTGTTTAGTCATGTGAGGGGCAAAGGCTTTTTCTTGAATGTAATCTTGGTTCGGTGTGGTTTTGTGGCAGCTTGCCTTATGGATGGAAGGCTTTAAACTTTGTATTTTTTTTTAACATCTGTACCTGATGGATAACCTCAGAGTCCTTCTGAGGTAGTGTTCTGAAAGAGAAGTGTCTATAAACAGAATTTGGTAAGTGTGTGCATTGCATGATACTTAGGAAATTTAGTTATGCATGTTTGATAGCTTCCTCCATGCATGATTAGAAATGTTTTTTGTTTTTTTTTATTTAACCACATGTATTTCTTGTTTTTGTTTTTGTTTTCCTTCCCCCAACAGCTGGCTTACCCCTTGGTGTTCTAAACTTGGCCAAAATAAAGCCGTATCAGAGAGGCTTTTTCTGTAATGATGACAGCATCAAGTATCCGTTCCATGACAGTACCATCACATCCACTGTCCTCTACACAGTGGGGTTCACCCTGCCCATTTTCTCTGTAAGTAGCTAATATATAGGGAGCTTTGGTGATGGGAGTAAAATGTATGCCTTCTAAGAGCTCAGCACTATAAATGAGTTGAAGACCAGTCTATATAGGCAAAATCCTATATATATATATAGTCATATGCATGTTAAAGGTGCTGTTGATACTGTTTTCACAGAAAGTCTAGAACTAATCTGACTGCTACTTTAATTTGCTTTAGGAACAGAAAAAAGTGTATTTAGACTAGGCTTTTATCACTGGAGGGGAAAAATGTCTTCCAAAATGTTGTTCAGAATGGGTTAGTCTGCTAATTTAAACGCGTGAGATGTTAAAACTTGGCACTGTTATGCAGTGTACGCACCTATAACTGGTGACTGTTGCTACCATATAGTTTCTCTAAAAATAAACCTAATTTTGACTTGGAAGCTTTTGTTAAGCTTGAAAGTAATGTGATTACTCATTAAAGAAGAGTGGGATAAAGTGGGATACAGAAACTGAAAATCTAACTGCTTGTAGAAAATGGGCTTGGTGTTTTAAAGACCATATGATTTTGACAAAGAACAATATAATTCTTCACTAGTTTTTTCTAACAATATTTGAAGCCTGCTTGTATCCCAGTTTTTAGTGAGGCTTGAGCTGATTTGGAGAATCAAAATTTGACGGTGCAGAATAGTCGTGAACCTGAAGCTACAACTTATTTGTCCCTGCAATACTTGATCAAGCTATGTGAAAGATGATTATATTTTATTATCTGATAATTGTGTAAGATTAATTAATCAGTAAGAAGTACATGAAGTGGTTTAAGGATGGAAGACAGTAATTTAAAACAAATGAGCATGTAGAACTTCTGCATGCATTACTCTGGTTTTCCCATTAGTGCTTATTCATTAAAGCTTCCATTAGACCTGTGCAGTAAATAGGAGGCTGACATAACAAGTTCTCACTGTTATAGTTTCACTTTTAAGGAAAGCTTGTCACTTCGACAAGTATGATATATATGTTCAGCACACCTTTGGGAAAATTTATTTTCCAATAGGTTTCCTGTGTATCTTGGTTGATATGGGTACAGGTGAACTAACAATTGCAGCTCTGAAGAAGCACTTTTAGACTTCTAAAGAAATGTTCTAGCTGCAGTTCAATAAACTGGTGAATTGCTTGATTTTTTAAATATTGTTCATTTTTAGATTTGAAGGTGTTGCTGTAATATAAAGTCAGTGGAGGGTGTGTTTTTTTCCTGGCTCTAAAGCCATGGAGAAACGTCTGACTTAGAGGTAATGCACATAAAAGCCTACACATTTAAGGAGTAACATGGGCTATTATAATTTTAGGTACCTTTCCAGTGAAAGTTACAGCTTAAAATTAGATGTCAGTAATTCTGATATTTTTCTGCTATGATACTTTTATAGGAGTTACACAGTGGGTTTTCACTGCTAGTCTTTGTGCAGGAGGCTGATTAGAACAACCACTTCTAGTCTCTGTTTTAAAACCTCCAGGAGAGGTTTTAAGAAAGAAAAAGTTCTAGAGCACAGTTGTTACTGTACAGTCTAATCAGGTAATTAGCTTTTCAGTCTGAATGTTTTCCAGACCTTAAAGCAACTGCTCAGTGTAGTTAACATGTTAACCTGGCTCTCTTAATCTCAGTTTCAGATGTAGAGAGCTCTTTATTCTCATGCAAGAGGTAAAAATTTTTCCATAGCTGCTGAAGACTAAGGGCTAGAGTAAGCTGTACAGCTAGGGGGTATGAGACATGGAATATTACAACTCTGAATTCAAAGTGGGTTCCAGTTGAATGGTTTATCTCTTCAAGATTGCCTTTATTCAAAATGGACAGGGAAAATTGATCAATCTGAGAATCTGAATTCAGAATGTTTTTTGTTTTGGTCTGACTCACTGGAGGCTTGAGGCTTTTTCCAAGGCGGTTTAGGTTTTTGGAGGTAGTGTGTTCCAGATTCAATACCCTCAACAGGAATACAGCTCACTCATGAAAGATTTTTAGGCAATAACTCTGATTATCCCACATCTAGTGAAAATTGTTGTGACATGAGACTTTACTGAAAGGGACAGAATCCTCAATGAAGGAATTTATGAAAAAAATTTCATCTAGAGTTGATAAATCACACTTTTGTACAGACTTTTCTTCTCTAATCAGACTACATGAAACAGAATACTCATTCCTAAGTGGTATGACTCTTTTTAGAGTTGCACAATAGGCCTGCTTGTCTTCAGAATGTAATAAGAAATGGCCTGAATATCTTGCTGTATAATAGTAATTATAATACTAAAAGGCTTTGTTGGGGGTAGGCCTGTAATAGAATATAAAATAACTTCAAAGAGAAAAAACTCAACCCCAAAAAGCCTCAAAAATACATAGATATTTTATTAATATTATTAATAATATTTATTAACTCTCCTGTACATAAAAGAAACTAGGTTGCATGAACATGAATTTGTTTTTATGACATTTTATGAAGATTTACAAAATGTGTTAGAAACTCAGGAATATTAAAAAATAAAAAAATACTCTTATGAATCATTATTCTATTTGTAGCCTGAACCCTTTGTGTTGCCATTGCCACCTTTTACCAGGAAATAAAATGTTTGAGAAATCAATGTTTATTCTTTTCCAAGTGCCACTTCTTAATATGAGGCTTCTCAATTTTCCAAATTGTTCTTTGTCTGGATGGGAGCCAGATTTTTTGTATTAGAATCTTTTGAGATTTAGGGTCAAACAAGTCTTGGTAGTGGTCTAGAAGACTGAATCTCTCTAGATGGCTTAGGCCAGTGTCTAGAACAGTGCATATTCATTAGATCTGACATTTAAGGAGCCCCAGGAGATCTTTCTGATACTTCTACCTTACCAAGTCTTTTAGATAGATAGTAATTCTGTGTAATTTAAAAGCCATGACTAGGCATTGTCCATAGCTTGCAGCTCTAGGAAGAGCTGGAAATGTATATGGTCTGGCATTTTTGGTCTTCAGTTGCCAATATGAGACCAACTTTTTCAAGCTTAAATGACAAATTAATGTCAAAATATCTTTCCTGCCATGTCTATTTGTAGGTGTCCTGTTCAGTTTGGCTTTTCTGGTAACTTTAAATCCAAACTGATTTTATTTTTTTTTCCCTTCCAGTCATCTTGTTTCTTCAGACTGCTACCTTTAGTGACATGCAGCTTGCCTTAGCTCCAGGGGTAGGTGAAATGTGGGAAGGGGGAAGCACAGAATAAGGAAAACCTCTCTGAAAAAAACATCCTTCTCACCAGAGCAAAAGAAAACAGAGCAACCTGAGAGTTTCTGAGTTTTGTCTGCTCCCTGTTCTAGGATTTCTGTCTGCTCCTTGCCAAGGCTTTGCTTGGCAATTCTGTCCCAGAGCTGAAGGCTCACAAGCCACTGGTCAGTTTCTATTACTTGATGGACTGATGTAGAGAGAAAAGTTCAGAACTTCTAACTCGGCCAAAGGCCTGCACTGAATTTCTGGGAGACAAAGCAGTTTTCCACAGCTTGTTGCTACCAAAACAAGTAATGCAAATGCTGATGTTCCTTACAGAGAAGTGTTCATTATAAAAAGAGTTTTGGTTAAGTCACTTCTCTGGGAACTTCACTGCTCTTGGGACCTTCTTTGAGAGAAGGGAACATGATTATGCCTGTAGGACCTAATTTCTCCACCTTGAACCCAATCAAAAGATATCTGGGTAGCTAGGTTATATTGATTTCTAAGTAGTTTAAATAACAACAAAAAAAGGCTGAATCAAAACATTACTAGGTTTGATGTGGCAAAATGTCCTCTGTATCATTATGACTTCCCAAAAGGGATCTAGGTAGCTTTGCTCCTGTGCCAGCTTTAACATTTTAGGCATTAGGCTTAATGTTTTTGAAAATGTCTGCCTATAGCATGTGGAATAATGTCTAAACTTTCCCTCCTACAGATTAGCACAATCATACTTTGGAGGCAATTTACTTATTTCTTTTATGGTAAAAGAAACCGATCTTTTAAGCTGTTTATGGAAGGGATGCATTTTGAAGGGAAACTTTTATTAGATTGACCAATATAAGCACTTACTGAGCTAATTTTATATGCCTTCATGGACAAATGTAGTTACTGCTGTGATGAGATTAATAAATCAGGGGATTAGCAAAACCTGTTGAAGACTGTTAATTGGTAGATGTGCTTTTCGCTTTTTCAGCAGGGTCAAAACTTTATGACCCACTGTTAGTTTTGCATCTAATTGAAATTAAAACTGTTGTTTGACATTAGAGTGGACTTCAACTTGACTCTTAAGTTTCAGGTTACTTGTAAGAGGTTTGATTATGATCTGAGCAAGACTGCCTCTTACCTGGTAAACTTCTTGAAAAGATTTTAACTTCATTGTGTTTTTTGTTGTCTTTATGGCATTGGAAACTTTTTTGGGCAATGCTGTTGAACTTCATAATCTGTCATAAGTTCTACTTGATACTAACTGTTCATCTTGTACTACTACAATCGGCATTATCTCTGAACCCAACCTTATTCTGAGGAATAAACTGCTAATTTTTTGGTTCTTCTTTTAAAGCCAACATAGTAATAAGTATCCATTGTTTTACTCTGTAAAGGTTTAATGTCAGGGTAATGCACTTTATTGAGTTGTTGAATTGGTGAACAATTCCTGGCTGAGATCAGTGCTGTGGGGCCAGATGTTGAGAAGTAGAAACATCTAGCTTTTGACTTCACTTTTTGATGTGTCTGTGGTGTGGGTGTTCTGGTGGGCTTGAAATCAGGTGAGAAAAGATCTGAGGAGCACCATGCCTCTGTTATTTTTACAAATATACTAAATACAGTTGTATTTTAAGTAAAAAAACTGTAGCAACTTGCTTGTTAGCCCTGTGGACTTGTATTTCCTTAGCCCTTCAGGTACATTTCTTAGTACAGTGATGAAGAATGCACATAGTGTCTGAGCGAGACAGTTGGCATTTTGACAGTGGGAGGAACTCCAGACAAGGTCCTTTAAAGTGCTGAGTTAAGCTTGATCACAGCTATGAGAA